CAAAGGAAGAAGTCTTCCCGGGCTGCTGATCAGATAACAGGACCCGGGCTGCTACCCAGACAAGGAGGGTCTCATCCTTGCGCAAACAATGGGACCATAGTGTTACATGACCGACCTTTTCGGGCACACCACAAATTGTCATTATCAACGAACATCTATGTAACTAGCTAGCTAGCCTGGCAACCGGGCCGATTTCAAAGTAGCTCAACTACTCCCTTTTAGCCGAGTCTACTACTCGACTAAGGGAGTGGGGGACTCGTGTTGAGATAATGGTCCAGGCCCAGTGCCATCGGCCCGTTATCCCCGAGCTTAGGCCCAACTAGGCCCAGGACGCAGTCTCACGAGCGGGAGTCGCCCCTTGATTATTTTCTTATATATCGGGCCGGTTCGCCCATTAGCTTGGAGATGTATTATTAAAATGGGCCAAGCCCACACAGATTAGATTTTGGACTTATGATGGATGCCTATAAATAGGCCATCAACCCCTCATGTATTCTCTACACTATTTTACTATACTCAAATGCTGCTAGTTTCTCTACCCAAGATATTTTCTACCAACAATTTGAATTACTATAAACTTTTTTTGGCCTTCGAACCCATGTTTTGGCTGAATGTGGTCCATGATTTACCGTTAAATATTTCCGTTATTCATTGGTTTAAATATGATGTTGTTATGTATGTTAACTTACTAGGTATGGTATGAACTATGTTCATGGCCGCCTTGTATAATCAGGTGAAGTTGACTTGCGGGTGGCGTCACTTGATTGTGCGGCGGTTGTACACTTGTTTAGAAGCGATCAGGGGCGTGACACGTGGGGGTAAAATTGAAGTAATTTTACAATTGGATGGATGCATACTTGATAAGTTCGTATTTCAGTATGAATTTGATGGGTGTTGAGATCGGCTTTTGACGGTTTTTCTAGATTAAATGTGTCAAAAGTTTCATAATTAGCTCAAGTCATAGTTTACCGCGTTTTGTTTTGCATTTGGTGTTTTTAGTATTAAAATTAGGAAATTGATCCTCACACCGGCATTGGAGAATTTATCGGGAGGACTCGAGACACATTTGAGAGTTATTTAGAAGCATTGAAGGTCCACGATTCATTAAAGAAGTGATTTTGGAGTCAAGAGAGCTCAAGGATCAAGTACGAGATTAAACGAGAACGAATAGAGCTTGAAAACAGCGATAAAGATGATGTTATGTCGATCGTTCAAGCATATCCTTTTGTACAAACATCCAAAGTACACGATTCAAGTTTCATATAAAATCTAACTTCAAGATCTACAAATCATATGAAGCTACAATGACGAGAATATGAGAGGAGTAAGGTGAAAACAGATGAGGAAATCAGATAATCCTTGTTAAAATTTCATGATGCGACCTTGCACCATTTTATTCATATCGTTTGATTGGATGATCCAATTCGAGTTTTTCAAGTTGTGATTGATAGAATTGAACTTGAAAAATTGGAAGAAGAAAGGATACTGGAGGCTATGCACTGCGTGTGTGATAGGGACGCACGCCGTGCGTGACACTTTTTCAGCGTTTTTTGCTCCGAAGGCACGTAAGACACGCACGCCGTGCTTGGCATCGTGTGTGCGCTCCAGGTGTCCTTTTTCGGCCTGAATTGCTCCATTTTCTATTTAAACGGCCTGTAAACCCATGTTGTTTTGTTACGGAGCTTAGAGAGAAGCCTATGACGAAATTTTGAGTACTTTTATGCTTTGTTATTCAAGACACTAGGATTATTTGTGAGTTCCATCTTTTTAATTAATGACAATTAATTCTTTTCATCCAAATTCTGTTGTTAATTCAATTATGAATTGTGAGTAATTTTAATTAGGGATTTGGGATTGATGAAGGGGTTAATCATGATCTAGGGTTAATTTCTTGAGGGATTAATTGCATGATCTTTATTTAATTTGTGTTTGAATAATTTAATTGATCTTTTGTAACCTGGAACGGCCGCTAGGATTATAATTGCACATAGAGTAAATTAAGAGAGGTCTGATTTATTTGATGACACTTTCACTTTCACACACACTTAATCGTTCGCTAAGAGATTAGTAATGGTTATGGAGCCGTATGCTCACACGTTTTGGCAATAATTTAAAAACTTGTCGCATGAGAGATCAGTCTGGTTCCCTAAATTATGGTACTCTACGCCGCGAGAGCGGTAAGAACTTAGTATTGACCAGGATTGCTCAATTAAATAATTTTCATGTGATTAAGCCTGATCTGCCTCGAAATCTTATTACATTGGAATCAATCCATGTTCTCTTTCGTCATTAATTAGAAAGAGCCTTTTAGATCTATTGCTTATTCACATTTTAAATTTATAAAATTTCCAAAAATCCAAATCCCACACTATTGCATTTATTTTATTTCATTTTTAAATTGCTGGATTTATTTAATTCTTGATTCCCTTTTTCGTCTTTGTGGAGACGATACTCGTACTTTAGCCATATACGGTTGCATATTTTTAGTGCGAGAAAACTCACATCAATACTTTTCTCAGATCTTTCCTATATTTATCATTATCTTCCTAAGATCGACAACATTTATATTTTCATAGCCGAGATCGATATTGTGATACTTCTTTTGTAAGATTAGTGTGTATATGATTACCGGATCCTCATTTAATTTGCCTTTAGTAATCTGATCATGAAAATAGATATACCGTTACCATGCATTCCACTTTTCTCAATTTCGAGACATTTCTTTGAGAAAGACTCGTGAAAATCGTATTGTAGTTTTGTTGTCATTTTCACAGCTATCATTAATAAAGTATAAACTCGTGACATGTATAATCAAACCGATAATTATTTTTCCCAATCATATACAAATACTTTTTAGTCGTTAGTCAAGTTATGATGTGTTTTAATTTACGAATGGTCTATCAGGCGGGGTAGTTTGTGGGTAAATCAAATAGATAATTTTATTTGTTTCTTTCAAATGGCTAGATAAATCAAATACACATACTTTTCGATTCAAATCGTACTGTTTGATTTTTTATTTAATTACTTTCGTTTTTTTGTATTTAAATCTTTTTAGGCCTCAGGATGCTCGATACGTGGTTAGCGATTGAATTTGCTCTTTGGTGACAGCCAATTCTGTAGAAGAATCATTTCGACAATTTTCGCTAAAAACAAATTTGAGTTGCTTATACCGTATGCTTTTGAATCCTATATTTTATATCTATCCTACCAAAATTAAGTAGAAGAGAGATACCATACACAATCAAAATACTCGGTATAATTGCCCATTCATGGTTTATAATTAGCAAGAATGCGCACGTGCACACGCGCACACTAGGGGTGTAAATTAGTCAAGTCGCTCGCGAGCTACTCGTGGATCGCACGAGAAAAGCTCGACTCGAGTTCGATCATATTAAGCTCGACTCGAGTTCGACTCGACTCAAATAGTTAACAAGCTCATTTCAAGCCTATTCATTTTAGGCTAGTGGCTCGCGAGCCGGCTCGCAAGCTTGTATGTCATATTTTATAAGTAGTATATTTTATACTCCGTATATAATTATATATGTAATACCTAGTATGTAATAATTATATATGTACTTTTTCGGAATATATATATTCTAATTTAAGACTATTCCATTTTCAATCCTTTTCACGGAGTAAATATAATAGTAATAATTACAAAATAATAACATGTACTTATTATTATTATTACAACCATAATACGGAGTATGTAATAATTATGATATTTGCTTGTAATATTTATTAACAGTAAAATAAAGAATAAAAATGTCAGTAAATTAGAGATAAACTAAAAATGAGAAACACATATTATATTTTTAGCCCGAGTTCTCCCATCTTATTCGAGGTCAAACCTATAAAAAATTAATTAGAGAAACTTGACCCGAGCTCAAACGGAGATCGAATCAAGCTTGAGCCGAGTTCGGCTCGAGTTCGAGCCGAAATTATTTAACTCGATCAAACTCGGATTGAGCTCGAACTCGTGAATTCTTATCAAGCTCAAGCTCAAGCCTACCCATGCTCGGGCTCGACTCGGCTCGTTTACACCCCTAGCGCGCACATATATATAGAGTAATCTTCCGGTTAGGCCTTTCTCATCGGAACTGCCGTCCGGACGACGGTGTTTGGGGCTCTTCACGGTGTAGTTTTTTGATAAATTTTTATAGAATGTTCTCCATCAAGTCTAGTTCATACATAAAACATTTCAGTTAAAAATTCAATCGGGAAGGTACTCAAATAATGTTTGAAAGATAATTGCGCCAAAATATACATATAAAACACAGTTATCTTCCAAAACTTATTTGACTGCCTTCCCGATTGAACTTTTAGCTGAAATTTTTTGTGGATAAACTAGACTTGATAAAGAATATGCCTAAAAACTTTTATCAAAAAATTCCTTTGTTCAAATGAATTTGAACTTTGAGTGAAAGAAAATAATTATATTGATTTTAGATTGATATAAATAGTTAGATAAAAACTCACAGATACAAATAAATATAGTAAAAAATATGGAAAACTGTCAAATAGGTCCTCGAATTTTCATAAAAAGGTCAATTAAGTCCGTCTATAGGAGGTTCTGTCCAGCCGTCGCGATTTGGGGCGGTTCCCGATGGAATTTTTTTATGTAATTTTTTGAGCATCTTATTCACCAAGTCTAGTTTACTCATACCAAATTTCAGCTAAAAATTCAATCAGGAACTCATTCAAATTAATTCTTGAAGATAACTGCGCATTTTTGCGTTCTCGAATTAATTTTAATGCGCTCCCGATTAAATGTTTAGCTGAAATTTGGTATGAGTAAATTAGACTTGATGAATAAGAGGCTAAAAAAATTTCATAAAAAAATTGCACCGGGAATCACCCCAAATCGCGACGACCGGACAGAATCTCCTATAGAAGGACTTAATTGACATTTTAATGAAAGTTCGAAGACCTATTTGACAGTTTTCCTTGAAAAAAATACCTTTTCTATGAGTGACTTTACGTCTCTAAACGACGGTATCCGGACACCGGATCTGGTCCGGAATTCCGGACCTCAACCTTTCTCTATATATATGTACATACATATTGCCTCAACAACAACTTTTCTCACTTTGTCTTCGTGTCTTCTTCTCTTTCGTCTCCTTTTCCTTTTTAGTTGTTGTGTCCAATTGGAGTTCATGCAGATCCACAGGACTTTTGTGCTCTTCCTCGCTCTGTCCTCTCTCATCTATCCTCTTTCAGCCTCATCTCGTAATACTAATTAATTCATTGATTAATTAACCCATATCCTCATACATGTTTATATATGTACATACCTTCATAAAATTAAATTGTTTGTATGTATTTCTGTAGTTTCATAGTTTTTTCCCTTTTGTGAGCAGGACACGCTAAAGAAAACCGCCGTGAAACACGTCAAGCTGAAATAGTAAGTTTTTAGTCTCTCCTTTGGCACAAATCGAAGCTCGGGAAAGTTCCCGAAATAGGACTAAAACAGTTTGAAAATTCCAAAATAGTAATGTCATGTATTTTGTTCCCAAAATAGGAGTGATTACTGCCAAATTTAGAAAATACTGCCATGTTTGAAGTCTGGTACTGTCAAAATATGACAGTATTTAGTCCTATTTTGAGAAAAAATATGACAGTCTTATTTTGGAATTTTCAAACTTTTAGTCCTACGACTAATATTCTCATGGAAGCTCCAATGGTTAAAATTAATACTTCAGACTTATGAACGACCAATCGAGATCCTAGATGGAAATATGGAATTCTTAATTGATCAAAAAGGAATGCTCTTAATGGGATTCATGGTCTCACATGAAGTGTTCTCTCTCTGTTAATTGACAGGGATTTTTGGTAGGATTTTCCAAAATTGAAAGGAATTTTGGCAAGCATATGCCAAATTTGCGTTAAAATCAGTTTGACACGAGTTATTTGGCACGAAATTATCCGTAATCCGTGCTAAATCCGTACAAAACCCATGACTTTTTTGTAGTGCTCTCTACATAATATTGATTTCCTCTGTTTAATTAATTGTATTTGTATATATATGCATACAAATAGGCTTTGATGGAAGAAAGTGAGAGGGTGCCAAATGATCTAGGAGCAGGAGAAGAGTTTGGGATAATATGGAAGGGAAGGGGAAGAATGGATATGGAGACGAATGATTATCAAAGCAGTGCTCCCAACAACAAACATGACAACTTTGATATTCCTCCTCCTGAAGGAAGTAATTGACGTAATTGAACAATTCAATATATGTGTATTGAAAATATACACGTGTTATTGAATTGTGTATGTGAGGTTGGATGAATAATGTATACTCTATACAATATGCCAGAGATGAATACCATTTATGATTTATCTATGTTGTATTGTTAGGCTAACCGCAACTCTCTCCGTCAATAAATTCATTTTTCCATCACTTTATACGTATTTAGTCAATTTCAGTTTTTTCCTGTAACCCAGCACCGTCAATATATTCACTCAATAAAATTTTATTTAATTGAATCCTTATTTAATTTTATATGAAACTTCATATGTAGTATTTTTTAAAATTTTATATAATTTTGAAAATTATGAATTTTGATATATTTTTTATAAAAATTAGATTAAAAAAAGAAAAGATAAATCATTTTCAAAAAAATTGGGATATTTATATCGATGGGTCAATCTTATGGAATGTACTGCACACTTGCTCCAGCTGCTCTCATCTCCCCATGAATAAGGATAACTGGATAAGGATACCAATTTCCACTCCATGGGGTGCCATACTCCCAATATAGCATCCTCGTATACGTGGGTTGCAGCAAATTAAGGGATGAAAATCCCAAAACTGCTTTTTCACTCTCCCGGTTGCAGTGAGCCTTATGTCTAGTACTGATAATATAACGGTAATCATTAATAGTAACACTTTTCTATGATTTGCAATGTAGTTAAAGATTCACTATTTTTTCTTGAGAATATGATGGTATAAAATAAAATGGCTCACTAAGTTGTTAATGCTTCTTTGTTATGAAGCAACAGTCAATCTATACAATTTTCGACGCGATTTTCATTATGAGTCATTCACAAACAGTCTCTATGTGCTTTATTACAAGGATAAGGCTGCATACATCCAGGGTCGTAGATGAGGCTGTGCAAATAGGGCCTTTGCACAGGGCCTCAAAAAATCGAAGACCCATTTTTTTAAATATATGTAGTATATATAATATATATAAAGTAATTGTTTAATTTATAAATAAATTTTTTAAATGCGAAGTACAAACTATGAAAGGCCCATTTGAAGTTTTGAAACACAGGTTAAATTAAGGCCCAACTGAAAATTACCTCTATGCTCCGGGGGTCCAGCCTCCAAATTAAATTAAATGAAAACAAAAATGCTAAAAAACCATCTCACTTCCCAAACACAAGTCGGCTTTACACAATTGCACCATTACTCTCTCTCATCTTCACTCTGCTAACCATTTAGGGTTTGAAGCTCTCTTCGATTCTTCTCAAAAAATCAAAAAAGTTTATTGCTTGACTTGGCCGAACGATTAAAGTCATTCAACTAGTCGAGTTATCTGGCAAGGTAAAATTATTCACTTTTTTTTATCTAATTTCTCAGCCTCTTAGGTTATGAAGTTGCGATTTTGTCATTTTAATCCGTTTCTTTCTGATTTTATGAACTAAACAGGCAAAAAACAAGGTAGGGCAGTAGGCAGTGCATCGCTAGTTTGCTACATCTGTATTGCCGTATTGGATCTACCAATTCATTTGTCTGAGTCTTCCAAATAAATTTCCAAACATCAGGTTGTTTCCCTCTTTTTTTAACTCTAATTGAGGTTATTTTGATTTATTGAATCTTGATATTATGGCTCCTGGAATGAAAAAGTATGAATCTGGTCATAAAAAGGTGGTGAAGAAAAGAAAAGCTGAAGCATTAATAAAATCTCAAGCAAGAGCTCTTGATAAATTTATCAAAAGAGACCGTCAGATTTCTGTTAAAAATCAAAGTTTTAATGTGCTTGACTGTGATGAATGATGATGTGATATTTGTGAATGATAATGAAAATGCAGGATCTGCAAATTGTAATGATGTGCTAGTAGATTGTGATAATGATAATCATCTAGAGAATGAAAATATGAACTCCCTAGAAAATGAAATTCATGATATAGGTATTGATATTAATGAAAATGAAGGACCAGATAATTCTCCAGAAATACCTCATATGGTAGATATATTTGCTCCAAGAAACTGGGATGGTCTTAGCTCTGAAGTGGTTGATTTATTAGTTATAGAGGGTCCAAAAAGAGATTGTTCTATTGTTAAGGGCCCTAAAGATAAATTTTCTAGACTATTTAATGCAAATTTGTATACTAGGGTTTTATCAAACGAGGAGAAGTGCGATAGAGATTGGCTTGTTTATTCGAAAGGACTTAATAAAGTGTTCTGTTTTTGTTGTAAAATATTTAAAAACGGAATTGGCAGATGCCAGTTAGCGAATGAAGGGATTGCAGACTGGGCACATATTGGTGAAAGACTTAGAGAACATGAAATAAGCATGGAACATGTAAAAAATATGGCAACTTGGTATGATGTGCGCTTAAGATTTGCGAAGAATCAAACTATTGATAAAATTGCTCAAGCACAAATTGAGAAAGAGACAGAACATTGGAAAAAAAAATTACTAAGAATTATTGCAGTTGTGAAATTTCTTGGCAAACATAATTTAGCTTTTCGTGGTACTAATGAAAAGTTATATGACAATAACAATGACAATTTTTTAAGTTTAATTGAACTTTTGGCAGAATTTGATCCAATTGTGAAAGAACATGTTAGGCGTATTACAAATAATGATATTCATAATCATTATCTTGGGCACACTATACAAAATGAACTAATATTTTTGCTTGGTTCTGCAATAAAAACAGAAATCATTAAAAAAATAAAACAAGCAAAATACTTTTCTGTTATTCTTGATTGTACTCCTGATGTTAGTCATCAAGAACAAATGATTTTGATATTGAGATATGTGGATGTTTATACTCATTCTGTAATCATTGAAGAATCTATCATAGAATTTTTGAATGTGAATGATACAACTGGTCAAGAGCTTTTTAATACTTTACGAAGTGAGTTGGAAAATCTTGATCGTAGTATATTTGATGTGCGAGGACAAGGTTATGATAATGGATCATTTATAAAAGGAAAACATCAAGGAGTGTCATAGACTTAATTTGGCACTGTGTGATATGGCCAATACATCTACTAAAGCTAAAGATTTTTTTGGAATCATACAACGTATTTATACAATTTTTGCAAATTCAACAAAGAGGTGGGGAATTTTGAAAAATAATATAAAAGGGTTGACTCCAAATCCATTTTCAGCCACTCGTTGGGAGTGTAGGGTTGATAGTGTTAAAGCTATAAGAACTCAAATATTAGAATTTTGAGAAGCTTTACTACAAGTAGCAGATGTTGATAATGATCCTAAAATAAGAAGTGAAGCTAAATCTTTAGCAATTAACGAGGGCCGGTTGTAATATTTGGACGATGGCAATGAGGGGCCGATCCGGATATCCATGCAACGGTCGCCATCCGGTAAAGAAATGGCTAAGACCGGTCTTGAGATATATGATAAGTTGAGGGGTTGGAACTTGGTTTCTTGAGGGACTTGGTCCCCTTTGAGGCGATGCTGCAATCCATTGGTTCCTCCCTCGGAATTAGCCCTCCGCATTCCGAGGGGTTGAGATTTGTTCCCTTGGCCCGGGAACAAAATGGTCGGCGGTACTTGGTACCCCTCGGTGTGACACTTGGTATCGCAATGAATTAGAGCGCTCTCAAGGAAGGAGGACGGGGTACTTGGTACCCCTCGGTTGTGATACTTGGTATCGCCTTGAATTTAGTGCGCCCTCAAGGAAGGAGGTCGGGGGGTACTCGGTACCCCTCGGTTGTGAGACTTGGTATCGCCTTGAATTTAGGGCGCTCTCAAGGAAGAAGGCCAAGGGTACGTGGTACCCCTCGGTTGGTGTGCTTGACCGTTGGCCTACCACTTGGTGCCGTCAGCTTTCCGGGGGCAAACCTCAGCCGGTAAATTGTGTCACTTGGGTGACGGCTTTTTGGAGGTGCCTTTGTGTTTAAATAAAGATCACCAGAGGCTAAGTCGAGGGATCCAAAGCAAGCTCAGATCATTTAATAAAAATGACCAGAGATTGGCTGTGAGGCCAAGAGCTTGGCTCGCACCATGCCTGGGGACTTTGACCCGCCGGTGACGGTGGTGATAACAAAATATAATAGTAATAATCATACCGGACCTGAGCTGCCAATACCCTTGGGGTAAGAGGGTCCTCGTGCGGAGTTGACAGGCTCCCCCGATCCTGGTCCTTTGCCTAAGGGTGGGGACATTCGTCCCCATGAGCTAGCCTTCTGTCGAGGGGGTCCTGAGACGAGGGTGGTCCTTTCCTGGGCGAGGGGCTGTTCTAACCTCAGGGGCTGGCTTGGCCGGGGTTGTGCCACTTTGAGATGACGGCTCGCCCATCCAGGGCGGTGGTGCTCCCAGGACGAAGGGTGCAGCATCTTACCTACCATCTATTCATTTTTGACAGAGGGGCGACGACTTTCTGGTTGACCGAAGGGTTATGTTTTGTTTTCCGTCGGCCTTGGCCGAGGACGAGGGTCCTCTGGCCGAGGGTGGAGGGGGAGAGATTTGTCTTCCTTGTGTCGTGTTTGGATGAAGAGAGAACCATCGTAGACGAGGGGTGCCCAATAGCTTTCATTGGCCGAGGGCACCGCCATCCTCTGTCTGAGCCGATGCCTTAGTGGATGATGCGTTATTGCCATCCCCTTGGTTGTTGTTGTTGTCGTCTTGGTTTCTGGTCCTTGGCCGAGGGATCCACTAAGGCTTCCCCTTGCTGCAGGGTGAAAGCACGGGTTGTGTTTTTGTCTGAAAGTTGGTGACCGTGTGGTGAAGACAAGGAGTTGTTTTCTCCGTGCTCAGGCTGAGCGGACGTCTGTATTGGGCCGGAGGGGAACCAGCTTACTGCCATGATCTTGGCCGAAGGGATATTATGTCCTTGTTCTGACTGTGTTTTTTATTTTCTGAAGGGGGGGCTTCTTACTTGATTGTTTGACCTCTCCACGAGAGCACCAAATGATGGATAGTGTACCCGGAGGGTAGCTTATCTCAGGGATATTATAAGAAATATCAAGAGAGAGGTCAGAGCAAGTAAGAGAGAGTGAGTGAGTATGTATTCGATATATGTGTTGTGTTCTTTACAATGCAAGAATTGGCTGCTATTTATAGCAGCCATAAATGCTAGGTGCGATAATGAGGGTACACGTGTCAAGCCACCAACGATGGAGGGTCACTTCAGCCAGGGTGTCGCCGACATAGCATGTGACCGCATTCAATGCGATGGTTTGGGTGTGACATTGTACCTGATGCGGTGATTCAGCGCATGTGGAGGGGAGATCCTGTCGAGGAGAGTGTCTTCGGTTACATGCACCCGGGGGCCCTTGTACTGAAGGCTATGTATAAGCTAAAGGTCGTGTATATGTCGAAGACTGAAAATACCGAAGGGTGCACGTAATCTTAGTTTGAATTTCCCAGTGATGTCAGTCGAACAAGTGTAGCTGTTTACCGAATATGTGGCCTTCGGCCATGGGGCCGAAGGCAGTACCCTGTTGCAGTATGGGCTGTCCGGAGTCTTGTTTGTTGTATTTGGGCCGCTTGGACCTGTTGGGCCTGATAGTTGTAGCGGAAGTATGTGGGTCGGGGGTTCCTGAGCCATATACTCCATCAAGTATAAACAATGAATGACCAATTTTAAAGTGGGAAAATGCAAATTAATAATCCAACCTTTTAGTGGTCTTCATTCGTTGGTCCCACTTTATCGTTATTCATGAATAATCCAAGGAACTTAGGTCCTCATCTTCATTCATTGATCTCTGACCGGTTGATGACCTACTATTCCAGGTTTTTTCATTTTCTTTACAAATCATTCAAGGAATTTTATCAATCCGGGACCTGAAAGATAGACGAATTATCAACTCAAAACATGAAAGATGAAATGTATGAGTATAGGACCCGAATGATGGAAAACTATCAATCTAGGACCCGAATGATTGAAAACTATCAATTTAGGACCTAAGTTTTCATATATTTTATTATTACTTTTATTTTGAAAAATTTAAATAATATTTAGTTTTATTAAACTAATAAACTTTTGTGAAGAAAATTTCACCAAATATTAGCAATGGAATTAATAAAAATTAAATAAATCAAAACCTATGATATGTTAGGTCCTAAATTGATAGTTTTTCGTCTTTCGAGTCCTATACTGATACATTTTATCTTTCAGATCCCGAATTGATAATTTGTCTATCTTTCAGGTCCTAGATTGATAATATTCCATCATTCAACCATAAATCCCACCTTTCATAAATCTTCACCAAGCGGTCCCACATGTCATTTTACTTTTTTCTTCCTAAAATTTTTTCTTTTTTATTTTTATCGTCTTGACTCTTTTATTCCCCCTTTTTGTCTTCTTATTTTTATTTTTATTACTTTTCATTTTTTTTTCAATGTTTATGTATTCCATTTTTCCTTCTTTGTCTTCTTCCCGTTTATTATTTCATTTTCATTTATATATATTTTTTCGGATTACTTTCCTTATAAAGATCTTTTTCTCATCGTACTAACCTTTTACTTTATTTTCTTTTTACTTACACTTATTTATTTCCTTTTCTTACCTTTATTCTATCACTAATATATTTGAGAAAATAGCCCCAAAATAGGACTAAATTAATCCCCAAATGCACAAATAGGACTATGTTATTTATCTTTACTAAAGTACCGTCTATCTTCTTATTCTACATTTCTCCCATTACCATAAGTTAATAGGATAATCGTATTTTACATTATAATAAAATACCATCTATCTTCTTATTTTACATGTTTAACATTACCATACCTTTCTTTTTATTTTGTTACTATAAAAAATATATAAAAATGAAAATGAAATAATTAACGTGAAGAAAAAAGGAAAAATGGAATACATAAACATTGAAAAAAATAAAATAATTTGAAAAGTAGTAAAAATAATACTCCCTCCGTCCTTTAAAACATTGTCAAGTTTGACCAGCACAGGGAATCATAAAGTAAAGACTGTGTGGTTGAGGTTTGTGTAGAGGAAAGAGAATTAACTGGAACAACAATTTTTTTATTTAAAAGGGAAAATGACAAAATTAATGGGACAATCAAAAAAGAAAAGTTGACAAAGTTTTAAGGAACGGATGAAGTAATAAGAAGACAAAAAAGGAGAATAAAAGAGTCAAGACGATAAAAATAAAAGGGAAAAGTTTTTGGGGAAAAAAAATTAATACGTGGGACCGTTTGGAGAAAATTTGTGAAAAGTGGGATTTATGGTTGAATGATTTGTAAAGAAAAAAAAACTGGGACCGACG